CTGCATTTTAGTACAATGCTTCGCAGGCAGATGGTAATTATAAATAGCGAGTAGAGAGTTTTGTCGTTAGAATTATGCGAAGACCATTTATTAACACACCATGCAACAACATGGTCGACTGAATCATGAAACAATTTCAATGATTCTCTCAGCTCCAAATAACCTACCTCCACATAAGCCACAATTTGAACAAACGCGAACCTCCTCAACACAATTATTTTGAAGGAGGTCCATGAGATGCGGGCGAAACTCGTTTATCAATAGAACTCGTCAAGCCTAAAGTGTGTTCGAACTTCATATCACCTGGATCACTCAGACTTGCCGGAAATCAGAGACGAATGCGCTGGCCGCAAAGTGCCCGCCATACTTGGCGGGTTCGAGCCTTCTCCCTCAAAGTTTGACCAAATCTTTCCACCGTCATGGTTGACTGACAGGCCTCTTATCCGCCCGCAAGGATGCCCATCGACGATCATCGCCGGCCACCTGCCTCGATGAGCTATGCTACGTGCCCGGTCCCATGTGGATTCTCCGTTCTACTTTCGACGACACTGTCCTTTGCTCCTTTCCGCTGTCTGATCACCATTTTGGAGATGAGGACGCGACGTGAAATTTCCAAAACTATTCTTCCATGGCTCTCTTGGTGACAGATTACTGAAGCTCTTCAACTTTAATGAGAAACCACGTCTCACATCATACAGCATTTCCTGCAGGACGGTAGAATTGAACAGAAGGAAGCGGGTTTCTTTCCTGATGTAGCCGAGAAGAACGCCCCTAATGGAATGCAACTCCGCCAACCTCTCCTCTTCATTCTTTGAAATTTTCCTGGTCACGGCGAATGTTGATTTCTTGGCTCGTTTAAATGCATTTATCAATTTCTTCGACCTTCCAACCGTTTAAAACTGCTTGGGCCTTCGGCAGGTAACCTGATCGTAATATCTTCGGGATCTAGGAAAGTTCACCGACGGAAAATTCACTGACTGGAAAGTTCACCGACCAGCAATTCGCCGAACGGAAAATTCACCGACTCTACAACTGATCGCCGATGATTTATATATTAAAAACCATTAAGCGTAAAAAACTTAATTTATTCCATATCATAAAGTATTTTCAATGTTTCTATAAAATTGAAATCTGCTAATTTTGAATTAATTTGCCTGAAGATGATAATGACGCATGTACCTCTAAATTTTGGATAAAACAGATTTCATTGGAAAAATTTAATTGAAAAAAACTGCTGAAACACTATTTACACGCAATACCTAATTAGTAATTTGTATTACGCGTCCAACCCTCTCAAAAACTCTAAAACATGACTTCTGTCATAATTCGCAACTACTCTGAAAAGTCTCAGCGCAATCCTTATATTTCTTACGCGCAGGGCTACCTTGTTGGCCACTCACATATTGTTTAATTTGCAATGTTCTGATGCTCTGCTTACGTTGAATCGTTTCAATAAACTTCCAGGTATTAGGGTGTTGTGCAGATAATTGCATTTCGAATCGACTATGCCATCCTTCAAATGAATTATTTGTCTTCAGTAGGTGTCTTACTCTTTCGTGACTGTTGCACATTTCCAGAGAAAAACGGGGCATTCGGTATCCATGCGTAGTTGAAGGCGTCCAATCCAGCAGTCCTCAAAACAATCACTCAACGCCTTGTGCATCTTCAGGCGTATTATCACAGCTACCGCTAAGAACCTCAAATGCTTTTACCACATCTTCTGTTGGAACAAAGGGCAATGCAGACAATAGTCGCATTTTCATGACAAATTCGACGTCATTTTTGTATACCTTCTTTGAAGATGCTCTGCCTGAATCCTTGGAA